GGTTCATCAGAAGAGTGTTAGTTCATCTATATATAACTAATGCAGTTTAAAATTGATTGTAAACATATCTTCCCTACATCAAGACCGTCACTACAAAACCGAAGTTATCATCTAAAATGAAAATGTTTGAGCTCTTTCTAGCCACCTCAGTCCGAAGAATTCCCATAGAAAAACCAATATCTGCTTCTTTCAATGTCGGTGCATCATTGTGCCTTCACCAATAACTGTCACAACATGGCCTTTCTTTTACAAGCATTGCACCATGAGAAGTTTATCAAATGGGGAAGATCTTGCCATCACACAGATTTTATCAACCTTCTCCAATCGTACCTCTGGCATGTAATTGCCAAATTTGTCACCATCTACCGCTACTTCACTATTCATCTCTTGATTGTTAGGATCATAGACACCCAGAAAGTAAACAACAAACAATCACGCACACAAATATTTACGTGGTTCGGTCCAATGCCTATGTCCACGGACAGAAATGAGAGTTTCACTAAACCAGAGCAAAACAAAACAGAGGAAGAGAATAACTCTTCTCACTCAACTCACAGCTCTCATACACTCAAATTTATGATATATTATATCATCTCCCTCCTGTCTCTATTTATACACAAAGATGAGAGAGAGAGAGAGAGAGGAAACAAACCCACACAATTTTTTACCTTCTTTAATAGTGAGGGTGAGTGTCACCAACGTGAATGGAAGAGAGAGCAGATGCCCAGCTTAGACTCCCAGCTCAGACTTTCACTTCTCTTGAGTTGGAAGTTGTCTTACGCCATTCTTCCTTGACTCTCTCCTCTACATGCATGTGGGTTGGATCATTTAACAATTCTCCCCCTTCATACCCACATGTATGTCTAACTTCTCACTTGAAATCCATCCTGGCAATGTCTATGCAAATTTCGAGTGTCTCTCGAAACCACCTTTGTAAGCATGTCAGCTGGATTCTTATCTGTGTGGATCTTGATCAATTCCAATAACTGCTTTTCCATTAATTCATGTTAGGCCTGTCAACGGATTGGGTATAACCCGAATCCGATCCGAATCCGATCCGATTAACCCGATCCATTTATACATATCCGAATTCGAAAATTTGTTTAATCCGAATCTGCGTAGCCCGATTTAAAACGGTTCGGATTCGGATAAATCCGATCCGGTCCATTTGTTTTCCTAATCCGATTGAATTCCTAGAAACCAAATCAGTTCCCTCAGAATCAAATCTCTCTCATCGTCTCTTTCATCATTTCGCATAAAAGAATACCTAGATCTCTCTCATAAGAAAATCTCTCTCTAATCGTCTCTTCCTACTCCGATTAACGACGATGAACTTAGCCAAATCGAGCTCTGTGCCGTTTCTGATCTAGGTTCTTCGATGAGCTCTTTGGTCAATATCAAATCTATCTTTCATCGTCCTCTTCTCCGACTTCTCTGATCTAGGTATTCTTCGGTGAGCTCTCTAATCCGTTTGTGTTTGTCATTACTTTTTACTGCCTTGTGCTTGTGTTTCTCCTTTATATAAGAGGTCTGGGTTGTTTGTTTGAATGGAAAATCAATTGTGAAACATTTTCTTGGATGTTTTTGGGACTCTATATATTTGTTATTTGATGGGTACTTTGGGTGGTTTGTTTGATGATAATTGACATTAGCATTTCAATTGTTGTTGTATGGTCTTTTTGCTTGGAGGTTGCACAGATTGATTTTGATGTGTTGGTGGTTGCAAAATGGGACTGCTAGAAGTTCATGGTTAGATTGATTGAAACCTTCATGAACAAAGTCCAGCATTTTTTTTTTTTAGAATTCGAAATACAGTTTATATCTAGTCAACTCAGGATATGAGGAAGGAGAATTGCTACATAGCAGGACAGGTGAATGTTAATTCTATTATAGATTTCAGTTGCTATATTTTTCAACTCAATGTGGAGACAAGAAAATGTGTTTATCTATATAATTTTTTATCTTAATTTTCACTTTTTATCTCGATGAAAATTGGTATTATAATCTATACTTTCATTCTGAAATTTCTCTTCTATGTTAGATTCATGGGTCTGGTCTATCTTTGTTATTAATTATTTTGTATCTGTAAAATTATTGAATTAAGATGACTGGTGTCCATAGGTTTTGGAAATTGTGGGTCTCAAAGATAGGATGTTGGTTTAAATTCCCTTGTAGTACAAGCATCTTTAGAACTCCACCATCTTATATATCTTCCACTAATTATATATCTATTATGGTTGGTGCATTATACTATGATTGTCATTGCTATATTTTAATTGCATTGTTATATTTTTTTCCACAATTTATGATGTTATTTATGCATGCCAACACTTGCATTATTATACATTGAATTTGCCAATGTTTTAGTTAATTAAAACCCCCGATCCACAAACATGTATGCTTATCTTTTCACTACAATCCTCTGCAAAGACTTAGTAATGGGATAGCTGCTTATCAGTTTTGTTGCTTTTAAATGAATTCCACATGCCTTTATAATAGATTGATCACATGCACACAAATCGTGATTTTCGTGTAGAACAATATCACCTATTGACCTCCACAGGTTGTTGTTTGTCAGTCACAATAAAATATTTTTCTATGCCCTCTTTTCTTCATTTTGCTTAACTATTCTTCCCCTTCTAAATACTACGAAAATGTGATTTGCAAATTAGATTTACCCTACCGAAGATCAGAAAAATAATAAATGAGTTGAAGTCTCATAGTCAAAGAAGTCCAAAACATTGCATTTTCTCTTGATTAGAGAAGTTAAAGATATTTTCTTTCAAATATTTTTGCATTTATCAGTATCAGATAAGGCTAAACACTAGTTTCTTTATTAGAGATTTAACCATGTTATATTCATTCACTATAGCTGTTTAGATCTATTGTTGCTCAGGTTGCCATCTTAGTTATGGAAAATAATGTAGAAAATAAGGTAATTGATTTTAATCCTTTTTGTCTTTGGCTTAGAAACTGGACTAGTCAAAATATATACTCTGTTTAGATCTGTTGTTGCTCAGGTTGCCATCTCTGTCATGGAAAATAAGTAGAAGATAAAGTGATAGATTAGTCTTTTTTGTCAGTGGGTTAGAAACTGGACTAGTCAATATAAATATATATATATATATAGTTTTAAATGAAATAGCCATCACAAATTTTTTGGAATAGGTTCACAAAAGGTTGGGTTGAAGCATGTGATGACAGGTGGGGCTACATCCATGGAGTTTTGCACAGTCTGCACTGAAAATGTTTAGGTTGCCCTTGACTAGTTAATTAGTTTCAGTCGTATTTTTTTTTTTTAATTTTATTTTTGAATGATGTTCGTTTGGGTTTGGTTTGGTTGCTGACTCTAATCCATATCTACTTATTAGTCTAGCATGTAATGTTAGTAATTTGGTATTTTGGTATATTATGAAATGCGGAGTTTTGAGGGATTTGTGTTTTTATTTACATGCACTCAGATTGTTGGGGCATTTCCCTAAATAAGCCAAATACTAATTCAATTCCCAAACTAAGCCTAGTTTGAAAGAATTCCCAAAATAGGCTAAAACGTGGTTCACAACCATGATTTCAACGTCTATGCGCCTGTCTCACGTGAAATTTGGAAAGTCTTAAAATCTTGGCGCTTTTGATTAAGAAATTGCAGTTACAAATCGCGCTTTTAGTTATATTTTTTTTTCTTCTAAATTGGTGCACATTGTTTTGTGCTTGTCTGCAGTTCTGTTCATTGCATAATTATCTTGCCAACTCCTGCTCCTTTATGTTTGATTTCTTGTGCAGTGCATATTTGAGTTTTTGAGCCAAAGATGTCTTCGGATTATAGCGAACCTATTACTGCTGATGATGCTGAGTTGGATGACGATGTATCTCAAGGACCCACAAAGAGGATTCGAAAACTAACTTCAAAGGTATGGGATGACTTTGTCAAATTTAAAGGACCTAATGGAAATGACATAGCTAGATGTAAGCATTGCAATAGGGAATTTGTTGGAGAGAGTAGGAAAGGGACTAGTCATTTAAAAAATCATTTGTCGAAGACATGTCCAGTACTTAAAGGACCAAATGCCCTTAGGAATGCTAGTAAGGTTGCTTCTGAATCTACTTCTAAGGCTGCAACTTTTAAATTTGATCAAGAGAGAAGTCGTATGGATTTTCTAGGATGGTAATCAAGCATAATTATCCTTTTAACATGGCTGAGCATGAATTTTTTGAAATATTTTGCAATAATCTTCAACCAATGTTCAAACTTGATTCTTGTAACACTGTTAGGCCGGATGTCCTTGATGTTTATGAAATAGAAAATGCCAAGTTATATCAATTTTTGGATGAACTCTCTTCTAAGATCACCTTGACAACTGATATATGGACTTCAGACCATCAGAATTTTGCCTATACATGTTTGACTGCTCATTATGTGACTAATGATTGGGAGTTGAAGAAGAAAATCCTTGCTTATAGACGCATTGATTACCCGCATGATGGAGACCATTTGTTTAGTTTTATCAAAGATCTAATTTTAGAGTGGAACATAGATAAGAAGTTATTTTCAATGGTAGTCGATAATGCAACGAGTAATGATGTCATGGTGAGACTCTTAAAGCGATGGCTACATGACCAAGGATTACTACATTTGGGTGGACAATTGTTTCATGTGCGTTGTAGCGCACACATATTGAATTTAGTTGTTCAGGATGGTTTGAAGGTGATTGGGAGTCTTATTTCAAAAATCCGAGAAAGTGTGAGATATTTAGGGAGGTCTCCTTATGGAAAACAAAAATTTGATGTTGCAGTGAATCATGTTAAGTTACATCATAAAAAGAAAGTCCCCATGGATGTTCCTACCAGATGGAACTCCACTTATTCAATGCTTGAAACTGCATTAGATTTGAAAAGTGCATTCTTAGGGCAAATTGACAAACAATATAAGCACAATCCTTCTGAGGATGAGTGGAATGTAGCAAATGTGATTTGTGGGTGCTTGAAGATTTTTTTTGATCTCACTTTAGTGGTACCACTTTTCCGACTTCAAATGTGTTTTTTCCCGATATTTGTCTTATTCAACTTGAAATGAAAAAATGGGAGCAAAGTGAGTATGATTGCATTCGATTGATGGCCGGTCCAATGAGAGTGAAATTTCAAAAATATTGGGAAGAATGTTCTTTGGTGTTAGCAATTGCAGTGGTTCTCGATCCGAGATTTAAAATGGACTTGGTGGAATACTACTTTGGGCTTATTTATGGTGTTGATGCTAATAAGCATATTCAGAGGGTCCGTAATGGTTTTGTTGATCTTTTTTATGAGTATAGGAGTGATTCTTCTGATTCTATGAGTAGCATTGCACTTGTTTCTGAAAATAGTAGCTCAAGTGGTAGTCAGTTGCTTGTCGGTTCTTCGAAACAAGAAAGTTTGGCTGCTTTTCATGCGTGGTATGCCCAAGAACGTGCTTCTAACATTCATGCCTATCAAAAATCAGAGGTGGAGCAATACTTGGAGGAGTTGGTGTTTCCAAGTAATGAGAGCTTCAATATTCTACATTGGTGGAAAGTGAATAAAGCAAAATTTCCTACTTTGGCAAAGATGGCTCGTGATGTTTTAAGTGTTCCAGCCACTACGGTTGCATCAGAGGCGGCGTTTAGTGTAGGAGGTAGGGTGATTGATGAAACACGTGCTTCATTACTTCCAGATATTGTGGAGGCCTTGATCACTTGCAATGATTGGATTGAATCAACCAAAAATAGAAGTAAGTGAAATATTGAAATTTTTAAATAATTAGATGTTATTTAGTTTAGTTCTATGAATATCTTAATGTCACATTATTTTCAAATTGCAGATGTAGAAGAATGCAGACATGAGTAGATGGATTGAATTGAATCGAATCACTTGAAGTAGATGGGTAAATATGGTTCAGATTATGGGGCTTGTCCCATGCCTTTATAGTGATCAATGAAATTCGTATTTGACATAATTTGATAATCTGTTTGCATATTAAGGTAATAGCTTTCTTGATTTGCAGGTTTGATAATGAGCTTAACAAAGCGGTTGCTATTAAAGTTATTGACTTGGAAGAATCGTGAGTATATAGCTTTAATTATCTCTTACTAGAACTGCTTGTGGTGAAATGTGGTTACATAACTTTTCTTCTTGGAGCTTGATATTCTTGGATTGAGCTGTGAATAAGTATTGGATGAGTGGCAAATTGATTGAGAATTTTAGAGGCCTATAAATTTGTAGGATTAATTATTGTTATCAAGATTTACATTGAAAAGTTTTTATGTTGAAAACAAGTCTATAAATTTGGATTAGCTTTCAAGCAATGTGCAATTTTTGTCTATAAATGGATAGTATACTTCTGCAGAGGTTTAAATATTAATAGTGCTTATGTGAACTGCTCTGGTTATTGGTACTTTTTACAATTACCATGTACATGTGTTGGATCGTCTGAATATAT